TTGGTTCAAGTTGAACATTTTAGGATGTTAGATAATCCTAGTCCAAACATGGAAATATCTCATTTTATTTCTTTGGCTAAATGTTCGATTGAATTCACAATATGTATGGGTTCCTAAATGATTACTGCCCGGCACAAGAACTGAACAGATCAAATGAGAACTGACTAACTGAATAAAATGAGTTTGTTTTTAGGCAAAATGAATACAATTTTGACTAAATTTAAAAATAAAGACCAATCAACTAGTAATCAACAGTTAGAAATGTGTCTGGAAGTTCGTACGAATAATTTAAAGTCGATATGCAGTGCATTGAAAATTTGTCACGAAAACTGGATACATGATTTAGAACGTTATCGTGATGAAAGTAAACTATTAAAATTATTTTCTAATCGTCAAATAATGATTATGATAATCCTTTTAACATCATCCATACACAATCAAACAAAACGTGTTTTTTTGAAAAAATTATATAATAATTTTACATGGGAAAGTCGAAATCAAGAACGAATTAATGAACAAGAACAACAATTAACTGTTGAATGTTTATCTCATTATTTAAAATCATTAAGAATTAGTGAATGTAATTTATCTGTTGAAAATTTATTGCGTCTATACGATGAGAATCGAATTCAGCATGGTGATAATATTGATTTATGTTTGAAAAAATTATGTCAATTTTTAAAGGAAATGTTTTTTGATAGTAAACAATTATATCCACCACTAGCAGAACAATTGGTTGGAAGAAATTTGAAACATGGAAAAAATACAACAACAATGGCACCACCGACACACCAAAATGAACAATATTTAGTTACATTTCATCCAAAAACAAATAATAAATCATTATTAGTTACACTTGAACATGATCTCGATATGGAAACTTGGTGTATATTATTGCATATTTTTAATAACAAATTTCCTTCATCATATCAAATTTTGTGGGGATCAATATCAACGGAAGAGGATATATTATTATTTTATTCTAGAATTCGAACATTTATTCATTTAACATTTGTTGTTCTTGATATTGATAAAATGCATCATCGTTTACGTGAAATATTGTTGAATGAACAAGATTCATTGACAAGACAGAAAGATTTACATGCCGAAGTTTATTATTTTTCACGTGAGCTCACGTGTAGAAAAGGAATGAAACCGTACATAATTCCAAGAGGTTTTAATGCAGATGTAACACGTGCACGATTAAACAATAATTACCAACTACTTGGTTGTACACCACCGCAGATCAAAACGATTGTTGGAAGAGCTGGCATAGGTACGTAGATATGAGAAACTTCTGAACTTTGAATTCAATAAAAAAATTATTCTTAAACAATAACACTTCGTAGAACTAGAGGAAGAAAGAAAAAATACTCCGCCCTACGGCTACCGTTATTGATATAGGGTGCTACCAAATAACAGTTGTATTAGCACGGTATCCTTTCTGAAGTTGGCAGTCTTCTGAAATGGTATCCATACTGTAACTGCAGCTCTGACCAGAAGGCTAGCCTGATGCAGAGTTCTTTTGCCCAATTACTTGAGCTCGCTATACATACTCACGAATCACGTACTAGCTTTCTGAAAAGACACAAGGACTGGCCGGAGACGGATGATATGAGGCACCAAGACATAAATAACTTCCCCAAGGTTATTACATGACTTTGGCGATGCCGAGGTTCGAACACAGTATCTTTGAAGTACGTGACGAATAACATGACCGCCAAGCTATACTGCCCGCAGAACCTGAGGAAATACGAATTATGGAATTTGGCAAAAGTTTTGGGCTTTTTATACCTTTTAACTCTGAAGAAAACAATGTTTTACTACATGTGAGCAATTAAAGGACAATTTTAATAAAATTATTGGTCTTTTTGGCAACAATTCCACATAATTGTTCAATTTTACTTAGAATACAAATTTAGCGTTGAACAGAGGAAATAGAGCACTAAATTTTCATGCAAAACTCATTTTACATCAGTTCTTTCGCTACTTAAAAATTTTCATAATCTCTATGGTGACAATGAATTAATATTGGTCACGTGACTAACTTGTTTACTGGTTCTAGTAGTACAGGTCTGATAATTTCATAAGGTAACGACGACTGATGTTGAATTTCTGTCTAATCAATAGCTGTCCAAACATAATAATCTTGAAATTCACTATTATATTGAAAAACTTCAAAATAAAATCAATCACGAACAGCAACTTGATGAACAGACACAACAACAAGAAGGACAAATGGCAAATGAACCAGAAAAAATTAAACTTACATTATCTATGGCAGATATTGATGATCATAAACGTCAATTAACATTTTGTAACGTTGATTTACATAACATGCCGCATAAAAAAATATTATTAAATGAACAATTAAAAATTTTGAATATAATTGAGAAGATAAATTCAGTTTTATTGGAATTAGAAATATCTGGTCATCCTGAGTATCAATTGAGAAGTGAAAAATATGATATTTATGATAGAACAGGTGAGTTTGAGACGAACTACTATCCATTTCAATGAACCGTGCAGGTGGATGTTTTTGAATAACTTTTTAACAACAAAAGCTAGCGACCTGGAGTTTTTGCCAATCGAAAGAGAACAGTTGGGGCAACAAACCTATGCGAAAATAAAAATTTTCCCTAATTAATTAAAATTAGCCTATTTTCGGGTGGAAAATTAATTTTTATTTTTGTCGCTGGGTTTGTAGATCTCAAGGTCCTCTTTCGAATGATATCTAAGTGACCCCCAAAATTTTGCTTCCTTGCCGAGATACAAGCATTGTAAAAATGGCTGTTTGACCGCGATAGCGGAAAAGGTTGAAAAGATAAGTTAAGAAAATGAAAATGCGTTTAACGAGATAGCTGAAAACTCTTAAAAATTTGCTAAAAATCAGATTTGCAAGCTACCAAAACCTGTAATGATATGAGCGTGTTTTGCAAACAGTCTATTATACTGATCAACAAAGTGAGACATCTTCGAACTCTTCATGAGGTGAGCTTATCCACGTAAAAGTCAACTTTTACGTAAGCCCATAACGTTTTGAGGAAGTCATAGCTTTTCAGCCGTGGAACGTACAGAGTTGGGGAACGCCTTAGTTTGTTCTTCACGAGAATTGAGAACCTTACATCCCAATAAGACTACGTCTCGTCTAATAGCTAAACGTTGAGAAAATACTTTCAGTTACACAGTCGCTTTCTTCATCGTAGAATTTATCTGACTACTTT